TTGTTTTTTTTTTTTTTTTTTTTTTGGTACCGGGGATCAAACTCAGGTCCTTGTGCTTGTGAGGCAGGCGATGGAACCACTGAGCTAAATCCCCGGCTGATATACCTTTTTTGATCAGAAGTATGAATACTTTTTATTTGACATATTTATCGCCTTCCCGACCTCTTTCACAGGGTCATTTGGGACCAGTTGTAGACTTTCTATCTTAGAACATGAAGAAAGGAAATGAGGGACTGTGTCATGTTGCCTTCCTTCGAAGAGCTAATAATACTTGGTTTTTCTGTTCAGAATCATCATTGTGGCCATCTGCAAAGGGATCAGGAAGGAAGAATTCATCAGACACACTTTGTGTTGAAACATACAATCTGGAACACACCTCTTCTGGGTAAGCATGGATAGCTTCTCCTACTCCTGCTCACACAGCGTTAGGGGGCCGGGAAGGGGTATTTTAGAAAGAAAATAATTGCAATTATATACATGTGGGGAGGCTGTTGAATACTTGGGTATTTATTTCTGAATTCAATCCATCTATCTATATATTTGAACAGCTATACCATGTTATATATATTAAAAGGCACCACAATATAAGTCCTCAAATAGGTCACAGACTGGTGGGAGGCAAGACTTTGACTCAGAAGAAGCCTAGGGGAGGAGAGAGTTAACATAATGAAAAGGGAAGTAAGAATACAAAGGCCTCAAGTGTTTGAAAAGTCATTTGGGGAAGGAGGATTTGGGTTAAGACACAGGAGAAAGAAAGTGTGAAGAAAGGAAAAGCTGGTCTTCGATCAAGCTGTGGATTGTTACTGACTGCCAGGCTAAGGAAAAAGAGCTTTTGTCCTAGGAAGCGCTCAGAGTTAGGATAACTCCCAGCATAACCTGTATGCACTTAAATGCAAAGGTTGATATTGCTTCTGAAAGAGCAAGAGAAATGGGATGATTATCAAGATAAATTTAAGAAACAATAGAAAAGTGATTTGAGGGTCCTTTAAACTGCTGAGAAACTACTATTAGTGCGAATGGGATGTCCAGTTTGTGTTGGACAATACATTATGGCTTTGTGGAGATTATTTTATTGATGATATTTCAGTGATAACCACGACCACCAATGTCAGCACTTAAAGAATGCTTGCTATGTTCCTAGTACATTCTGTGCTCTGACTGCATCTATTAACTCATTTAATTCTCACCCCATCTCTATAAAGTAGGGATGCTAATGTAGTTCCTACTTTAAAGAGGAAACAGTTATTAATTTATGCAAGGTTATGTATCCATTTATATATAAATAAACTAAGATTCAGAGTAGCTTAGTTATTTATCCAACATCACACAACTAGTGTATGTTAGAGCCAGGATTTGAACTAAGACACTGTGGTTGACTCAAAAGTCTATGGTTTTTGTTAAATTCTGCAGCTTCCTAAACATGGAAATGTACCCAAGTTGTTTTCCCCACTAAAATAGCTTGCTACTCCAACCTATTTCCTGGCCCACTTCTTGGTGGGTTGTCATTGTGTCTAACAATTTTCTCTTGAGGAATCTACAAGTTGTTCTGTAAGGGGCTCGACAGTATTTTAGGCCTTGTAGTCTGTGTAGTTTCTGTTGCTACTGAGCTTTACACTGGAGCACACAGTCAGCCATGGATAATACATAACAGATGTGTGTGGCTGTATTCCAATAAAACTTTATTTACACAAACAGGGAGCTAGCTGAATTTTGTCTGCTGGCTGTACATTTTAGGTTCTTGAGTTGCCTAGTAGACAAAAGTTTTTTGTGTTCCTCCATGCAACTACCATCTAGGTGAGATCTGATAAAACATTAATAGAATTGTTTTGACTTTTGCTTTTTCAGAAATGATTCAACAAATCTCTCAAGAGGGGGAGAATTTACGCTTGATATGGTCTGAACCGGAAGTTAACTTCTGTTTTTATTCCTTTGTGTTCTTCTGCAGATGCCTTGTCTCTGGAGAGCTGCACAGTGATTCCAGGGCTGGCACTCACATCGTTCTCGTGTGTAGCCAACCCAACCTGTGCTTCATGGGAAAGGCCTAAGAATGGAGAAATAAAGGATGATGCTTTGGACGTGACTAGACAGTGCGAGTGAGTTCAGGGAGCGCAGTTCCCTTACCCCACTCTTCAAAGGCATCTTCTTCCCATTGCCCAACGTTTGAATTGGTCAGAATTTCATGCCCTGAGATCATAATGTTTTTGCTGAGGAACTTCTCCAAGTTTTTGAGGGTTTATAATTTTAAAATAAAGAGACTGCTTTCGAACTTCATACTACCCATTCTAAAATTCTGATGAATCCTATGACATGTCCCAGTTGTTAGGTATGTGCATCCTGTACGCGCTGCTAAGTAACTTAGGTGAGTTTTGCTCATATTTCTTCTATTCCTTTCACCCACGAGATGAACAAGCCTCTGGGCTCTCATTCCTGTCTCCGCACCCTCGTCCTCTTTCAGTGCTCATTTGTGCTCACCTGCCTTTTTAAGTATGCAGACTGATATTCCTCAGGAAAATTTAGAAATGTCATGGGAAGTTGGTGAGAACTCTCTACCCCCAGTGAAATTTCCTTTCTGTACTGAGGCTTGAGGAAGCAAGACTTTGAATTGCAAATTCTTCATTTTCATTTTTGGCTGGCTTTTCTGCTGTTAGGAACCTCTCTCTGATGGAGCCAGGAGGTCTTTCATTATATCTGTCTTCAGGTGTGGCTTTCATTAGAAACTTCGTAGACTAGGGGTGGGAGGGTAGGGACTATTTCTGCTAAATTTTTCACTTGTAGTAAAGTATCGGTACTTTCTACCCCCAGGTGCCTTGGCCCCACAAGTGGTCCCGACCCGGGACCAGATCTTTCAGGTTGCATCGGGATGAGTGATGACCTAAGTATGGGTGTAAGTACAGGAAGAGACTGCAACTTCATTTCAGTGTAACCTTATCCTGGTCCTCTTCCATGGTATTCTTTTTTTTCCTTTCTCTCTCTCAAAAGTATTGTGAATACTCTTATAAAAAGTAAGAGTCTGACACCACAGAACTCAGATTCATGAGAAAAATTACCTTTGGAAGTCAGAAAATTAAAGTTCAGCCATTTGGGGGGAAGGGACTTTCTGTTCCTCGTGTGGGTATAAACTTCGGATATACGACCAGGGGAAGATTTGGATGAAATACACTGAAGGTTGTGCTCGAGAAGCAGGCTGGCTTGGGATTTAAATTCACTAATGACGGTGAGAAGTGTCAGGTCCCATAAACTCTCTGAAAACTGGGGTGGAGGCTACATAGTCTGCGAGAAACTGGCCCTTCGTCAGAGACCACAAAGCAAGACCGTGCCCCAAGAGTGTCGATTGCCAAGGTCAGGTACTCATGCTTCTGCTCTGCCCAAGAAGAGAAAAACATTGACCGCCTTGAGAAAGCCCACTTGGGCCAGCTCCCCAGGGCTCTGTGAGGTGGTTGGATTCCCTCCCCCTTCTGCAGCCTGGGGCGGGCCCTGTGACTGCGATCAGATGCAGCAGGCAGTTCTGTCTCAGGACTTGGCCGTGCGTCCTTCTCCCTTTTTACGTCTTTACTGATGTAAAACCCACATACCAAACCATTCACTGATTTCAACTGTTTAGTTAAATGATTTTAATAGATACACAGAATTTTACAACACTTATCCGTGATCAGTTTTAGAACATTTTGACTGCCCCCCGCCAAAGTCTCCATATTCTTTTATACCCTATTCACCTTGGCCCTAGACCTCAGCCCTCAGTGACTACAAACCTACTGTCTCCATGCATTTGCCTATGCTGGGTATCATCTGTAAATGGAATAAAATAGCTCATGATCTCACGTCTAGCTCCTTTCAATTAGCATAAGGTTTTCAGGCATCATCCATGCCATTAATATTTCATTCATTTTCACGGTAGAGCAATATTCCATTGAATGAATATACCATATTTTGTTTATCCAGTCACCTATTTGGGGCATTTGAGTTGTTGTTTTACTTTTTGGCCATTGTAAAGCTAATATGAATATCACTGCATAAGTTTTTGTATAAACACGCTTTTAAATTATTTTGCATTTATACCTCTTGGTGGAATTACTGCCTCTTATTGTAGCTATACATTTGCTAGGTTGAGAAACTGCAGAACAGATTTTCACAGTGGCCTTACCATTTTACTGTCTCATCAGCAAGGTGCCAAGACTCCACTAACTTCTCCACGTCCTCCCCTTGAGTTTAGCCATCTTAGTGAATGCCAAGGGCTGTCTCATGACGGTTTTGATCTGTGTCTTCCTGGTTAATGTGTTAGCTCTTTGCTTGCTGTGAGAAAACCGGCTTAAAGGAGATGCTGTCAGAGGTTTCTGTGTTTGATTGATGGCTCTGTCGCTCTCAGGTCTGTGGTGGGAAGGGTGTGATGGAGCAGAGCTTGCCTCATGACACGTCACCTCCTGACAGACAGGAAGCTGAGAGACAGGGAGAGGGGTAGAGAGGAAGGGCCAAGGAGCAGATCTAGTCCCGAAGGTCGTGCCCCATGATCCGCTCCCTTCAGTTAGGCTCCGGCTCTTCCTAAATTCTGTTAATCCCAATAGTGCCATCACATTACGATGGAGTCATCCATTGGTGAGGTTGAATCCTCCTGATCCAATTACTTTCCAAAATCCCCGCTTCTGAGCACAAAGAATCTTGAGGGGCATTTTAGATCTGCACCATGATGTATACTTGGCCATTTGTATTTCTTCCCTGGTGATAGCTCTACTAATATACTGTAGAAAACGCTATTATTTCTGTTTTCCTCTTGAGTCGTAGGAGTCATTCTTATTCCTTATAAGTGTATATATCTGACATTTTTTTCTGTTCATTAGTACCTGTTTTTCTAAGTAGCAAAGAAAAAGGAAATAGGTCTATTTTGCTATTACTCAGTACTCTACTTAAAGGCTTTAATACAGGAAGTTGAACTTGGAAGCTTACAGGATGTTCAGCTGTTAGTAATTTCCCTTTGATTTGGCCCTGACTTTCCTAAGAAGAGGGAAGAAACAAATAGCAACAGTGCACTAGGAACTGGGTCTCTACATACCATATCATCAACCCTCTGCACCACCTTGAGTGTGTTTTTTGCTTTTTACAAAGGAGATGTCTCAAGTTGAGGAAGTTAAGTAACTTTTCCAAGATCACTCAACTAGCGAGTAGGGAGTCTGGATTTGAAATTCAGGTTTGTCCAGCTTCAAAGGGTATGCCCTTTTCATAACCCCTTTTTACTACGCCAAATTTTGACATTTCAGTCATCCGGATCAGTCTAGTTACCTTGAAAGTGCTGCCCTGTGTACCTAAAGGCCTCCTAGTCTGCTCTCATTGCGTTGTGTGACTGAGCTGCTCTGTCTGTGCTCCTGACACCCACTCAGAGATAGGAGCGACCAGGGATCACAAAAGGCACTCTGCTCACCAGCTCTGGTGGAATGTACAGGTTTCCCAGAGGTTCACACCCTGTCCTAGTGTCATTTCAGCAGCCTCAGGAACTAGTCCTTTGGCTTTATTTGGGGGTTGAAACCACCAGTCCTCCATGTCCCTATTTCAGGGTTCTCTCCCCTGGAGAGTCAATGCAGCCTAGAGGCTGAGCCGTCCCCTGCTTGTCCCCCAGCAGTTCCCCGCCTGTCATCTTCATCCTCCCACCCCCATCTTTAAGCAAACACTAAGTTCTATATCTAAGAGTTTTCTATAAAAAGTATAGAGAATTAGAATAAATAAAAGTGACAAAAATCATAATCCATGTTCAACCCGGTAAAAATGGTGGTGTTTTCTGTGAAGTCTTTGGCTTTAAAAGATTCATCTCTGCCAATCTACAGCCTTATAACATACAACTGCACCTTGGGTTCGAGTCCCTTTTTAACCTGGCCGCACCTACCCTTATTCCCTCGTCACAGCCCATGGTTGTCCCTCCATGTCTGCTAAACCTGGTCACGATCACACAAGCCTGTCTGGGGTGTTTTCTCTGCCCAAAGCACTGTGTGATTCTCCATTTTTCAAAATTCTATGTGACTTGTCAAGGCCATTTTAAAATGCAACAGTTTCATAAAAACATAGTAGCTTAAAATGTCAATGGTTAAGTATCTCCTGTTCCTGTTGAGGTAGCAATCATAGTAGGCTAGATTTTCCCTCCCCTAGCTTCTGTGTGATTCTGGAAACATATTTTTTGGGCCTCGGCCCCTCATTTCTCAACTGTTTCACTCCTTTTCTTCGAGACTTCAGTAACTCTTTGCCCTCTTCTCATCCTTTATACTCTGGTTGCATTGGAGCAGTGCATCTCCTCTTTTCCTGTCTTTTTTCTTTCCTGGGGATTGTATCCAGGAAATATTGAGCTATATTCCCAGTCCTTCTTATTTATTTTGAGATATGATGCTGACCTCAAACTTGTGATCCTCCTGCCTCAGCCTTCCAAGTAGGTAGGATTGCAGGCATGCACCACCATGCCTGGGTTAGTTATTTGTTTTCTTATATTTAAATCTGTGTTAGAAAGTAAACTTGGTGGAGCGAGCCCTTATTTTCTCAGTACCCAGTATGTGTCTAGCACCCTGAATAGTTTTGGTACGTAGCTCCCTCTTAATGTTTATTGAATGCACAGTTGTCTTGCAATCACTATAGGTTCTCTTAAAACATGGAGAGTGAGTACTCAATTAACGATTGCCTTCTGACTCTTGGACTGATTTCCTAAGGATGTGAGATTCATTCTCTGTCCCTCCCCTATGTTTACAGAGGAAGCTGTATTCCAGCATTTTTTTCATAGGGCAAAATGCAAGTTAGTACTGAACATAAGTATTTTTGAAAGGGACTTTGAGTGATCAGAGCAATCTAATAAAATTGTTGTCTCCAAAGGAACATCTCATAGTAAAATAATTTGGGGTCTGGTGTGGGGCATTCTTGAGAAGAACAGAGCTTTGTTTAAGAACAGCTGATTGGGGATATTTTGCTCTAGGAGAGAAAGAAATAAATTATTTGCAGTCTATGTTTTAGAGCTTCATGTTGAAATATTTATAGATGAGATGTTAGGATAGCTGGGATTTACCTCAAGACTGTGCACAAGTAGGCTTGGTATAAGAGAAATAAGATTAGCCGTAAGTTGGTAATTGTTGAACCTGCATCACGAATACACAAAGGTTAATTCTTCTATTCTGTCCACTTTAGTCTTTATTTGAAATTGATGTTAGCAACACCTTAGAATTTTAGAACACATATATAGGCTTTGGATTACAGAGATCTGGATTTAAGACTGGCTGTATTATTTCCTAGCTGTGTAAACTTGGACAAATGGCCTTCCATGGCTTAAGAAGTATCCTGTAAAGCCTCAAGCATCCAGCGCTTGGTCCCCAGTGCAGCAGTGTTTCGGGGTGGGGCCTAGAGAGGTGACTGGGTCCTAAACGCACTAACCTCTTCAATGGATTAATCCAGCGGTGAGTTCATAGCTAAATGGGCCATAAGGCAGTAGGGCCCAGTTGGAGGAAGTAGGTCACTTGCAGTGTGCTGTTGAAGAGTATATCCTGTTTCCTCCACCCCCTCTCTGGCTCTCCTCTTGCTCTTTGCTCCCTGGCTGCCATGAACTGATCAGCTTTCCCCCACCACGCCCTTGCACCACTGTGTTTCTGCCTGGGAGGCGGCCAACCATGGACTGAAACCTCTGAAACTCTGAGCCAAAATAAACTTTTCCTCCTTTAAATTATTTGTGTCAGACATTTTGTCCCAGCAACAGAAACGTGACTAACACATGGATTAACCTGTCTAAATTTGCTTGTGTTACCCATGAAACAGATAATTACTTTTCAGAGACTTTTGAGTATTGAAATATACACATGTGCACCCACATATATATTATGTATATATAATATATATTATATATGTATTATA